GCGCTGTATATGGACTGAACCAGGACTAAACCAGGTCTAAACCAGGACTAAACCAGAGCTGAATCAGGACTAAACCAGAACTGAACTAGGACTAAACTAGAACTGAACTAGGACTAAAACAGGACTCACTGTAGGGACGGGCTCGAAGGTGACCGCAGGAGAAAGGAGCGGCTCTGCTCCGCACCTCACAGAGGTAAGAGCGGCTGTCACCCGATCGCTCTTTATGGACCCTGCTGCTCGGGCTTGCGGCCCTGATTTCAGCAACTATTTGCAGGTACCCGAGCCGGTGCAAGAGTCTGTTACAGCGCGTAACTTCTACCTTCCTTCAGCGTGTCCAGAAGTCCAACTTTTTGTGTGATGGTTTGCATCTTCCTCTGCCTTTTGGGGGCGAGCGCAGGAGCCTTTGTTGGTGCAGAACGTTTCGTCGACGTTGTGGGTTTTCGTCGGGGAGAAAACTTGCAACCGTACAGCACTTCAGAATCACAATGCTAGAGATTGAACATGTATTTAAATTTGGCAGCTGAACACATTCTGTACTGTACTGTACAGGAGACAGGAGTCCCTTGGCCAGTCAGGACGCAGCGGGAGGAATGCAATACGCATTCATACAATGTAAAAAAAAACTGGGCATGCAAAATTGCACAAAAAAAATAAAATAAATAAAAATCTGCGAGACAGCGAAAAGTGAACTGCGATAGAGGGAGGGACGAGTGTAAACCAGGTCTAAACTAGAACTGACCCAGGTCTAAACCAGGTCTAAACAGCGTGGAGTTCTTTGTCAGTCCTTTCGCCCATGGTTACCTGAAGGTCTATGAGGGCGCGTCTCCGGCGTTTCACCGCTGCTGATATCGAGGTGATTTTAGCGAATTTGTATGAAGAAAAACCCACCACTTGAATCCAGGTTAAAAAACACTGTAACGCGCGTTACTCGCATTTGTACCGAGTAAAATATTACTATTTTTTCCCCTGTAATGCCTTACATTACTGCGTTACAGCAAAAAGTAATGCATTACTGTAATTCGTTACTTTTATAACGCGTTACTCCCAACACTGCTCATCAAAGCCTTCTCCAATCTTGGAGTTCCCTAGTCCGAGGAAAGACCCTCGGCCCTTGCACTACTATCAAGCTTCTCAGCATTACACTCGATTCGATCTCATTTCAAGTATCTCCCTCCCAAGAAGTTCCAGTGAATCTCCCTGCTCCTCTCCAATTCAGTCTCGCAACCTCATGCAACAAGAGACAGCTCATTGCGCTTCTCGGTCACCTTAACTACACTATCCGCACCATTCCTCTGGGCAAGCCCTTTCTTTAACATCTCCTCACACAAGCCACATCCGTTGAATCCCTTCACAGTATTATACTGCCAAACGAAGCGTGTATGTCCGACATGCACCTATGGAAGCATTGCCTAGACTCCTGGAATGGCATCTCCTTTCTCTACAACAAATTCGTGAATTCGAAGATATCCAGCTTTTCACCATCGCAACTCCTTCAGTTGGTTTCAGAAGGTTTTATCAGGAAAAGCGGTTCGCTTCCACGTGCACTCCAAGCTCCTCTCAGACCAATCGACAGCTCTTCCACCTCATTCTAACTATACCCCATCGTTATTGCAGCCATTCTTTGGGGGCATGAGCAGTCTAGAGATGGCTTCCAGGTTCTGGTTCACTAACATTTCCGGTAAGTTCTATGCTCTCCAGCATATCTCCCATTTGTTTTCCATCCACTCTTTCCCCATCGTCACGGGCACATTTGACCGAAAATTCAGATCCTTGGTCACTGGGCCTCCAGCACCTATCTCACCTATGTTCGTTATGACCTCAACAATCTCTGTCTAGCCCATCCTATCTCGCATTATTTTAAACCTTTTGGGGGTCCTGTTCCGGCTGGGTGAATTGAAGATTGAGATGGAGCCCCCACCTGGAGTCTCAACCCAGCCATCTCTGCCCAGCTTCGTACATTATCAATAAACTTCTTTGCACTATGTTGTTGTTGGTGTGGTCCTATCTAGTGAAATGTAGTTAATATGATTAACTGAGATTCAAGAGCAGGACCACACCTCAGCCTCCCCCTCCTCTCACCAGCAAACCACAACTCACCTCCACCACGCCTCTAAATTCCCAGAAGCCTATTTGTAGCAGCCTTTCCCATCATCCCAGTTAGTCTCGACTAACTGGACCCCACTCTGCCACCCCCTATTTTGTTTGTCTTTCAGTCATAAGACCCCTATAAGGGGGGTCCCGTTCCGGCTGGGCCAATTGAAGATTGAGACAAAGCCCCCATCTAGAGTCTCAACCCAGCCATGTTTGCCCCGCTTCGTACACTAACAATAAACTTCTTTGCACTATGTCATTGTTGGTGTGGTCCTAGCTAGTGAAACATAACTTAATTTATTTATTAATTGCGTGAACCTCTGAGTTTTGCGCTAAAAGGTTGGCTACTAATTTGCAACTAACATGATGAAAAGTCTGCTCAAATTTTCATATCTAGACAGATTTCCATCAAACCAGGGTTGCCAACTGTCCTGAATTGCCTGGGACATCCTGAATTTTGGATGATTTGATTTGTCACGGACGGGACAGCTCCAGTCCCGTATTTCAATCACAGTCTCAAGGTCTGTTCAGACTGCAGCGTCAAAAAACGTTGTTGCCCTGGAAATAAATGCCATTTTCCGGGAACGATGGACCAGGCTGAGAGAGACTTTAGTGCAGCAGTTTTCAATAGGTGAGGCTCGCCTCCTCGGGAAGCTCCAAATAGCCACTGGGAAGGCGCGACACACACGGACTAAACCAGGACTGATTCCAGGACCAAAGTAGGACTAAAGCAGATCTGAATCTGGACTGAGTGTCATTTAGCTGTTTCAGTTTATATGAACTGCCTTTGAATATGAATGTACATAAATTTTTTGTTCAAAGTTTAAAAAAATATATATTTTCAATTCTTCATACAGTAAACATATAAAGCATTTGTGTTTCTCACTCCCATGTGTATAAATAAATAATAATAAATGTAAACAGTGCAAAAAGCACTAAGGGGGGGAGTCCAGGTGTTCTTTGGGGCTGCATGCTCTGTGAACCTCATTTTCCTCTAATAGTTTTGTAGTTTTCTTAATGTGTGTGTCATTACAGTTTTTCATTCTAAAGGACAGAACTTTGAACTAGTCAGATTAACGCCCATTTTGCTCTTCATCCTCCAGAAGACAAGAGATACATCAGACTGAGTGGTCCAAGTACACTCGGTCATGTCTCCACTGTTCATGTCCAGACTCTTTGAGGAGGAGGTCCAGCATCTTATATGACCTTAACAAGTGTGTGAGACAAAAGTGAAAACATATCATTTGCTCATAAATTTATCTAAATGTTTTTCAGTCTGTACTGACATTTGATTCATGGTGAAATGTGCCATTTATTTGGTGTCTCTTTTGATAGTAACTATAATTTCATGTACTACAAGAATGTACTATTGTACTGCAGTTAAGCAGTGGTATTCCTCAAGATCATATTTGGCAAAAAATAATTTGTTCATTTTGGATTGTCACTTGGTGACAAAAAAGTAACACAATGAGAGTACACTGACATACAGCTCACTTGTTTATGCAGTGTGTCTGCATGTGTGTGTGTTTGTGTTCACATTATGATGAAGTATTTCCACAAGTTCCTTTGATTGTTTAATATTAATAAACCAGCCTTTCTCAGGAAGGTATAAATGCAATCCCTGGTCAATATAAAATTTCCTTAATGATGATAATAATATTTAATAATGCACATTTCACAGTTTAGATTTTTTTTTTTTTTTTTTTTTTTTTTTTTTTTACTTTAAAGTAATTTAGTCTGTTTTAGCAAAAGTTAAACATACATTTTAGTTTAGCCATAAGATCTGGATGCAAATTATTAGAATAACTTGGTCACAAAATCAGACAGTTTGATGACCTGTGCATAATCTTTTTACTAATCCGTGTGCGTAATCTGCGCGGAGCATGTTAGCATTAGCATTAACATCAGCATCGCATCTCAGTTGCTCGGCGACAGGAGCGGCTCCGGCTCTATGCCTGTCCCATTTTGGCAACGGCCTTACGGTCTGCGAAGGCCAGTTCGAGGGTTGCAGCCTTCGCAGTCGACGAAGGACTCAGCCATCGGAGGCAACAGCCCTCGAATTGGGACATGGCTGTGGATCTATTAAAATAACTACACCTGTCTCATTTCAGCATGGCCTTTGCGGTCCGCGGACACTGCTACTGTGAGCGCCCCCTGCAGGTTTGGAGCACTTCTGTTGTGGTGACTCTTTATGCAGCGTTTTTCTTTTGCAGGTGTTTTCTTAGTTTTCATCATTTTGTGCTTTGCGTTGTTTCTCTATTTGCAACGTATTTGATGATGACACATTTGTCTTCTTGCAGCGTGTTTTTTCATTTGTACCACGTTCTTTGTTTGTACTTCTTTTAAACTTGTGTTTGACCCTGTGAATTTGCATCGTTTCTGTACTTGAAGTTGTTTTCTCTAAATGAGACGCATTGGGCTGTTGCAGTGCGTTTGGCCCCCATCGGCCACCGTACCCCTGAACCTTGTAAAATCATATAAATAAGGATTAGATGTATTAGAATAGATGTACCTGCTAATTTAAGGCCCTCTCTTGTACATGCTCTTATTAAACAGAAACATCTCTCCTGTCCTCCATGAGAACATTTCCTTTCCTTAAAAATCCAATAAGTATATTTTGTGGGAATAAAATCAGACCAATCAAACTACACAAATGTCTTGTCTGCTTTATAGAGTTATGGTTGGGATTAGGGCCTGGACATGAGATTATGGTTGCTATTAGGGCAAGGAGGTTATGGATTAATTATGGATTTTGGGGTATATGCTCCATGAAGTGTAATTCAATTTAATAAAAAATCTGAACCATTATAAGACAAAGCTTTTTTTTTTAAGTTTAATTTCACATGAGCAAATAATCCAACAAACACATCCAACATTGATTATATGAAAGAAGCGTATTATGGCTTGGACTAAATAGCACAAAAAAGATGCTTTTTCAATCTGTGTCTGAACATTTGGTCTCTCAGGCCGTATACAATGGGGCTTACAAGCCTCGGCAAGATTTGGATAAATATGTAAGTCACAAACATGGCATGTATGAAATTTCTGGGGAAAAGGTAAGCAATTAAACTCACTATGAAGTGAAAAACGTAGGTCAGAATGCACAGGAGCAATTGAAAAGCATGAAGCAAGATAGTGTTTTTTGCTTTTTTTGTATCCCTACTTGAGGCCTTTGCAGCTTTAGCCACAATAAAAATGTGGATGTATGTGTAAAAGAGTGTAATCCAAACTCCAACAAGGTAGATTATGTATAACACTTCACGTTTTTTAATGCTGGTTGGGTGTCGGAAAAAGCGATTTCTCTCGCAGTACATTGTTGTCAAAAAAAACTCCCTTGGCTCTGTGGCGATGAGTAAAAAGAGGTCAGGCACAATGCCAATTGAACTCATAACCCAAATCCATGCAATCAATATGTATGCTGTCTTGACATTAAATACTTCAGAATGCCGTAATGGAAAGCATATGGCAATGTAGCACTCTACTGCCATGACTGCCAAGTTAACTGGGGAGTTCAGAGTGGTGTATATGGCAAAACAAAGGATTATACCACATATAGAGGTATTGATTTGGTAGAAAACATAACTACTGACATATAAAGTGATAGATGATGTGAGCTGGATCATATCATTGACCACAAGATGGATGAAGAGGATGTACCGAGGTGTGGCATAAAACATCTGGAAAAGAGAAAATAGGGTATGTTAAAGGAAAATATTTTCTAAGTTATATTGTCTCTTCTACTCAACTCACTGCAACTCAAGATCTAGGTATTAGGGTTATCCAAAGTATTGAAAATCATATACTATTCGATACCAACTATTGTATCGAAACTAGATATTTCAGTTGTTATCAATACTAAAAAAAGTCACATTCACAAGACAGAAATGAACATTTCCTAAATAACTTTAGAATGATCTTGAGCTGTATCAGAACAAGTATCAGACCACAATGACTAGTATACATCCATGGACCAATATAGAACATACCTGAATGACAGATTGCATAGATACAAAGTTGCATGGTAATATTAAAGAAAGAAATACAATTTAATGTTGGAAATCACATTCCACTGTCTAAATTAAGATTATTATTATTATTATTATTATTATTATTATTATTATTATATTTTTATTTGTTGTATTGGAATCAGTATTTAGTATATTGCATGCAATGTAGTGTAATGACAAGATGACCTGGTGCTTTTTGAATACGTGAATGAGCATCCCATTGATGTAGTTTATGATCAGGCCCAAAATGATAACGATCACATTCTTGGCCACTGCGATGGGGTACAAGTCTCGGTAGATCAATGAGACATTCTGTTCTGGAATAGACACATTCATCATGGAGCTCTGAAAGGTCAAAAGTGTGAAAAATAAGATACAAATTGATATTAAAACTAGTATCGAAACTAGATAAAACATTTTGAAGTATCATTACTTCAGTAGTTTTCATAACCAGGACAAAAACAACTTTAGAATAATCTTAAGCTTTATCAGAACTAATTTAAGACTGGCCTGTAAGAATAATTTACATCAAAACGAAATTGCAATAAGCAAATCGCAAAGGATTTTTTAAAAGTACCAGAACTTCCTTCACAAACAACAAAATATCCTATCTTATTCTGCAGAAAAACTCCTACCCCTGTAGTTTAGATCTGCACAAACATGCTGGGAAATATGACTCTTATTAGTCTGTCAGTTCATATTTCTTTTTGTCACATAGGCATGTTTAGAGTGTGAACTTTGAACAGAATCCTATTATCTAAACTGATTATTCTATACATCGGTATGCAAAGGTGGTGTTAGTGATTTAGTACTACCAGCAGCTGTAAATTCAATTATGGGTATGTCTTAATGACCAAATTTATGTTAATATAGAGTAAAGATTTGAAAATTAACATTGTTTACATAATTAAATATTTTATTTCATAGTATCAAAAAAAGAGTAAAACCACCAAAATTTAAGAAAAAAATCTTATATTTCATTCAGGTTTGCAGTGTCCCATCATAATATAACTATTCTTTAGTTACAATGTGACTTCACACACATTATTTTGACATGTGCATATATACAATTACCAAAAAAAAAGACAAATAGGTTTTGTAAATGCACCTTATGAAGCTCTTTTTTTTAATGAAGTGTAGATCCAATCCAATCCACTTTATTTCTATAGCACATTTCACAAACAAACTGTTTCCAAAGTGCTGCACAAATACATAAAAAATAACAACAATAAGATGATAAAGTAAATTACTAAAATAATACTAGTCTTAAAGTAATAAAACTAGTAAAATAATATAAAACCAGTAAAATAAAAATAAAACTATATCATAGAATAGAAATAAATAAACCAATAAATAAATTAAATCAGTAAAACCAATAAAAACACATAAAAATAAATAAAAGACACAGATGTTAATACTCACCGCGTACTTTCTGCTGCACTAGAATCTCAGCCATTTCATCTGGACTTTTATAAAGAGAAGAGAAAAACAACTAAAAAATACTCAAGAGCAAAAGTCACTAGGGGCAGGGGCTGATGTCAGGGGGAGAGTCATCAAAGCAGTTAGAAATATTTTAAAAAGATATCAATAATGTTTGTGTGTTCGTGGTTGATAATGGCTTATGTTGCTGATGCTTGGATTAGTGTTTGTACATTTTGTAGGTTACAATAATGTGGAAAAAAGGGAAAAGCCCTAACCACTACCAAAACAAAAACAACAACAAAAAAAAGAAAAGAAAATTATAACATTAAAAAATAAAAAGCATCTCTGGCATCCTCCATCAACCTAAAACATGCACCATAGGTACAATCCTCCAGCTAAAATACTCATGGCTAGTGTTGTTCCGTCTAGTGTTGTTCAATTTTGGGGGGATTCGATCCGATCCAATACTTGGCCTTTGTGTATTTGCCAGTACCGATACCAGTCCGAGACCACTACTCAGTTTTGTAACATACAAAAGCATAATATAAATCTTCTAAAAAAAAAAAGCAATGTTTTAAGAAAATCTGCAAGAATAAACAAGATTTTGAGGACTTAAGTATTAGTGAAATGTATAATGGGCTTTGCGATAAGTAGTGCTAATTGAAGCAGTTTTACTTTTCTACTTTGTCACTTTCTACAGCACAGCGTGGATAAAACCAAAGATGAGACCTGTGAAAAGATGCTCATCTTCAGAGCACATGACTAATTATGCTGAGTAAACAAAGTCCAAGTTTTAGAGACGAGTCGAGTGCATTTGATTAAAGCCAATGTAAAGCCAAAAGAAATTCTAAAATATTTAAAAGTTAATATCTTTGTCATTCCTTGGTCTATTAATGCGAAATAAAAAGTGACTGAAAAATAAAACACACCTCTGTATGAATATTTCAGCTGTAAGTCCCTATGGAACTGTTTTCTTGCTCCATCTGAGGAGGAGGATGGATAACTCTTTCCATTTTGGACCAAAATAAATGACAATACAGTGCACATAAAGGGACACGTGCATATCGACCGAATACATGTATCAAATCGTGAGACCAGTATTGAATGATTTGATATTATATTGAATATAGTTGCATCCCTATTAGCCACAGATGTCAGCAGCGGCACAGCTGCATCTATGGGTCCTCATTCAGGAAAATAGTGTGGTATTGGATCGGTGATTTGGTCTGAGTATTCGTCGATACCAATACCTGTAAAATGTGTGGTATTAGAGCAGCCAGTACAGACTATTTAATTTGTGTAAAATATGCAGAAGGTAAGCGATTTGTGCATTTGTGGACATAGAATATGTTTTTGCTTTTTTCTTAAGTGGATTTAACTAATATTTTTTGCTGTTGTGACATTTTGACCAGACTCAAATAGTCACCATGATGCTCCACATTTTCCACACACTTTCAGCGCCAGCCATCCCGAGTTGATCATGTTTAGAGTTCAATTCAGAGTGCTCCAACAATGTATAAATATCCATGGTGTCTGTGTTCAATTTAAATATGAATTATTAACATTTTCAAATAGTTACTGAGAAAACATATTTTCAAAATTAAAAGAACAGCTGGCTGAGTGAAATTTGTACCTAATTTTTTCAGAACGTGTGAATAAGGACTATTATTGAAAAAGAAGTAGCTCTACTGTTGTTGCAAAGGTGACTTGAAAGAGAAAGTGCCTCAGAAATATACTGTATATAAAGTGTAGCCTGCAAAGGCCTGAAATTATTGGCTGTCCAGAGAATTATCATATATCTTACCCTATACTTGGATGAAACTTTCACTTTGTGTTGTGGAGGGCTAACTGTTACTGATGGCTCCAATACAGTTTTTTTTTTTTTTTAAACTTTGGTTCCAAAAATGTGGGTAACAATATTTTCACAAAATATCCCTCATTTATGTCCAAAAACAAAAGCTGCCTTGTAGTGTTATGCATTGTCAGGGACATTTTATTATACTCCTTCACTTTCTTCATCATCCTTTTTGTGCACCTCTGAGAATACAGTCACCAAAACTGTTTTGACTAGGCAAAATTTATTTGTTTGTCCAAAAAATAACATAAAACAAACAATAATAAAGCGATGAGAAAACTATTGCTAATAAGGCCACACAGATGCAATAATATTAACAGCTTAAAGTTGGACAGTTTTAGTCTGGAACAGCTTTGGATATCCTACTGCCCATTCTGAACAACATATGGAAATAATATGTAAAATTGACTTTTATGAACTTTAAACCCGTTACAATGGTGTTCCATGATCATAAGGCTACTTACTATATGAGATTTGCATGCTTAATCTGTTTTCACCTATCTCTAATTCCGGTTTACTTCTCTTTAACAGATTGTTCAGACCCCAGATCACACACGTAGGGTTAAAAAATGTCACATAACATAATGTTGATGAAGAAAAATAAAATATCAATAAAATACAAATAAAAAGTTAAAACCATACTCTGGAACATTCTCCATGTAGGTAGATAAGCTTTATGCCAATTACAGTCAAAGAGACAACCAAGAGGAGATGCAAACCCATTCACAATAAGAACATATATTTCAGAGGATTTAAGCGCAATATATGTTTAAGAAGCCATCAAACCTCACCTGATAGATTTTTAACTGTACTTCCAAGCGTACACATTAGATTGGCCTTCATGTGTTTTCTGAAAGTGGTGTCTTTTATGCCATACACAATGGGGCTTAGTGATCTCGGCAGAATCTGCACACTAATGTAAACAGCAAACTGTATATCTGAACTGCTCCTGGGGAATAATCGGATTAGCATCTCCCTCAATGCTGGCGTTGCGTAGATTGTCATGCACATCAGCACCTGAAAACCATGTAAAATAATTGTGTTTCGAGCTTTCTTTATATCTTTACTTGCTGTCTTTGCGCTGAAGAGAATTTTGAAGTACGTGTACACAATAACAAACCAAACAACAAACAAGAGAACTATGTAGGAGAAATCTCGTTTTTTTTCTACAGTTGGACTCGGAAAGACATTAATTCGAAGACAAAACACTTCAGTGTAGAAAAAGTGAATTGGGGAAGATGCCAGTGTAATGAATAGATCAGAAATCCCAGAAATAAAAGTTATGATCCAAATCAAGGCAAGCAGCACATGGGTTCGTTTGACGGTGCAGACTTGAATGTGATGGAGAGGGTGGCAGATAGCGATGTAGCATTCTAGTGCCATGCAGGCCAGGTTGAGTGGGGTGTTTTCTGTTGTGAAGATGATGACGAGCATAAAGACCGTGCACATGGAGACAGGTAGAAGGTAGAATACATAAGAGAAGATAAAAATGAGTGTGGTCAGAATCAGATGGAGCATGTCATTGATGACCATGTGGATGAAAAGGATGTAACGTGATTTGGAGAAAAAAATCTGCAAAAGAAATCACAGAATTATAATGAGTTGGAGAAATGGTTTGTATTGCACTAAACCTGGACTAAACTGGTAATACACGAGCAAGACAAAACCAAGTTTACATCAGGACTGAACTGGGCTCAAGCCTGGAAGGAAAAGTTTATTTATATAGCAAAATTCATACAAAAAGTAATTTAAAGTGCTTTACAGAGTAAGAAAAATATTAAAATCACAATACAGACAAATCAGAACATAAATAATCTACATAAAATTAACATTAAGAAAGAAGAGCGTGGAATGAAAACCTTTCAGTCATATGCTCAGCTAAATAGAACTGTTTTGAGCCTGGATTTAAACAGTCAAAGCAGAGGCCTGTCTCACATCTTCAGGAAAACTGTTCCAGGTTTTAGCTGCATGAATCTCAAACGCTGACTCCCCGTGTTTAGTCCTGACTCTGGGCACCAGCAGGAGGCTGGTCCCTGAGGTCCTCAGAGTACTAGATGGTTCATATTGCACTAACATGTCAGAGATGTACCTAGGTGATAGGCCATGGAGGGACTTGTACATAAGAGGTAATAGATAATGCAATGTTTAAAAACAGAAGTGCTTTATAGTATATGCTCTGAGCAACAGGACCCAGTGCAGAGACCTGAGCACAGGATGCATGAGCTCGTACTTCCTGGCTCAAGTCAGGACCCAAGCTGCAGTGTTTTGGATGTACTGCAGCTGTCTTAAGGTCAATTTACCATCCAGCATCAAATCGTTTGTGTCACGACGCAGATGCTCTGCTCTGCTGACCGATGTGCACCTCCAAAACTTTTCTAACTACGCATTGAAAGGACCCAGATCCATAAATCAAAAAGGATGGTAACAGGGTGACAGCGGCAGTGGGTGTTGAGTTACAATGAGCAGGCCATTACAATAGTCTAACCTGTTGGAGATAAACACATGGATAAGTCTCTCCTTTGATTTTTGCTGTTTTTAGATGGTTAAAAAAAATGCAGATGTTATTGATTTAATGTGGCTGTTAAAGTTCAAATCTGAGTCCATTATTGCCTTTTTCTCGCCTGATTTGATGGTTTTAGCAAGAGACTGGAGGTGACTGCTGACACTGAAAAAAAAAATACTAAAAAAATTAAATAAATAAATACTTTTTTTTTTTTTTTTTAAAGCGTGATGCCCATACCAGCCTCAGTAGGTGGGGGAATAATAAGTAAATTCTAGTAATTTATTTTCAAGTAGCACTTGTGTTCATACTTCATCATACACAACATGATTGAACAAATGTCTCACTGTGACTAACCAAATTGGCATTCTCCAACAATGTTTGCCTCTCAAATAATACTATTGTACTGAAACACAAAGGTTTGCATCTGGTGTTGTGAGTATGTACAAATACTGCATATATATCAATAGTGTTGTAAATATGAATTATTAACATTTTCAAATAGTTACTAAGAAAACATATTTTCAAGTTAAAGGAACAGCTGAGTGAAATGTTTACCTCATTTTTTCGGAACGTGTCAATAAGAACACTGTTGATGAAGTTGATGGTGATGCAGATGAAGATTATGATGCAGTTCTTGGTCACTGCTTTAGTGAAGGAGTCTCTGTACTGTCCTACAAATGTCCTATTCATACCTTCATAAGAAAACAATATATTGTGCAAAGACTGAAAAAAGTCAAGAGCTGGGAACAAAAATTGCATTAAACATAAGCGTATGTACATATCTTTGTGTTTGTAATGTACCTTATACTATACTGTAATGTTGCTCAAAAAATAAATAAAATAATTAAATGATGAACTGCTTAAAAAATCTACTGTATTATTGTTAGACCTACTGTAATAAAATAGAAAATAAAACACTAGTGATATAATAGTCAAAATATGAATCAAGTAAACATTCAGATCATGGCAATAGCAATAAACAATAAAAAATATTCTTCATGTTATGTCTTTTTTTACTCTTGTATAAATGTATCGTCATAAAATGTTAAATAATGAGAATTAACACAGTTTAGAATGTAATACTATTTAAAAGTAATGGTTGTTAAAAACTTACCTTAATTATCACAAACAAACTCAGTTCGAGATATAACTTCACATTTACCTGAATATCTAAACTTGTGATCACAATTCTAGATTATGAATGATTGATTATTGAAGAAAAAAAGAAAAGAAAAAAGATCTCTACTGTTTTTGTAAAGGTGACTTGGACAGAAGAGAATGTGCCTCTGAAATACACCATATATAAAGTATAGCCTCCGAAGGGCTGGGACTGTTGGCTGTCCAGAGAATTATCACATATCTTACACAATACTTAACAATATTTACACAAAATATCCCCCATGTATGTCCAAAACACAAAAGCTGCCATGTAGCCTCATGTACTGTCAGGGACTTTTTAAAGACTCATTCCCTGGGAAAGTTGAATTGTAGTTTGGCGATGTGTGAAGTTGTTGATTCTGTTTAAAAAAATTTTTAAGCCAAAGAAAAGGTGGTGATTATAAAAATTGTGCTGGGAGTGCAATAAAGGATCATATTTTAGAAAATGATGCCTACCTCATGCCTTGCAAAGACCAGCTGTTGGAACAGATGTGGTTAGCCAGATACATTATGGCCCTCAACCATGGTAAGGGATACTGGCAGGTGCCTCTGGACCCCAGCAGCTGACCCTACATTGTTGTCTGTACTCCAGAAGTTTGTAAAAATGCCATTTTTAAACCGTCTAGTGTATTCCAATTCCTGACCTAGTCGTTGGAGAGAAATGAAATTGAGCAGAGGCACTAGGTGGCACCAGCCTGGCTACCTTGCATTACTTTACCTTTCATTTGATTTGCCTATATCAGGGGTGCTCAATACGTCGATCACCAAGGTCATGTGGGTAGATCGCCGTGTCTCGTCTCGGACTCGCGTTTGGACTCGGTCTTGTCTCTCACTCAAGGTCTGACACTCAACAAGTGCGATCATATTTCATTACGGCCGCTGCTGTTGGTAATAAACTTGTAGCGGGGTGCAGGAGCGTGTGGGGCGTCTCATTGCAGCCTGTGCGCTCATTTGAAACGCGCGGAGACTCTACAGCACATCACAAATACACACACTCCCTATGCACGGCTCGTCTGCAACAGCGTGTGCCCTCATGTACCAGCGTGCATCACAGGGCAGGTTAAACTTCCTAAACATCCTACCTGTCCATCTGCCTCACGTCAGCACACCGCCCCTCGCCTTTTCACGCTCTCGCTCCTTCCTGCGTGCAGCGAACACAAGCCCCTTCCACAGTGCGCATTGATTAGAAGAGCAACACGAAACGTGAAGCAAAAACGAGTCTAAATTTGTGTTACAGTGTTGGCACAAAGCAGGCCTACAGCATAGAGCAGATCTACAGAACAGACCTACTGCCACATTTGGCTGAAGTTTTCCTAACAAAAGTGCACAAATGCATCTGTGTTTGTCACGATGTGCGTTTGGTTTGGTAAATGTGCAGAGGCTGGTAAATATCACTGCAAAACCAGAAAAGAATGCAACTCCAGTTTAGAACTTTAAAAATGGGTTTAAAAATCTTACCTACTTCCTTCACTTTTTCCACAGTTTTGTGTAAAGTGCCACAGGAAATTCTCTTAAAGAAGTGGTTCTCATACTGTGGGTGAGGGTCCAAAAAAGGGGCACAGAGTGTTTCAGTGCAGTTTGCTTGGCTTTGTATTAGGTAGATCTTTATGACTTGGTCTTTTTGTAAGTAGCTCGCATGCTGAAAAAGTGTGAGCACCACTGGCCTGTATAATCTAACACAACCTGAGAAACTATGGAGGTGTATGTTAAGGATTCACTGGCAGAAGGTATTATTCAGCCTTCTTCCTCCTCTCTTGATTCAGAATGTTTCTTTGTTGATAAGAAAGATAAAAACACTTCATCCTTGTATTGATTTCCATGGCCTCAACAACATAACTGTTAAAAACAAGTATGTACTGCTTTTGAGCCTATTCAGAGGGCAAAGAACACCTATCACCTGGTTCAGATAAAAGAAAGTGATGAGTGGAGGATGGCTTTAAACACTCCACTAGGGCTAGAGCATTTGGTCATGCCATTTGGATTTACCAGCTGTCTTCCAGGCCTTAATGAACAATGTTTTGAGGGATTTTCTTAACTGTTTTCTATTCCTGCACCTCATTGACATTCAGATCTTACAATGTCGCTGTTCACTAAAGTTTGTTTTAGACTTTGCCAATTTCTACTTCGCTTCATTAGGGATTACAGCAAAGTAGGAGCTTCACTAACCAAACTTACCTCTTCATCCATTCTCAACCACATTCTCAGTTTGTAGTTGAAGTTGATGCTTCAGAGGTTGGAGTTGGAGCAGTGTTCAACTATAGACCAAAAGCTTCATCCCTGTGCTTTTTTCTCTAGGCACCTCACTCCTGCCAAATATAGAACTACTCGCAGTAAAACTGGCATTAGAATGGCGGTACTGGCTGGAAGGAGCGGTGCGATCTTTTGTAGTATGGATTGGCAACAAGAACTTGGCATACATTCGTGAGGCAAAGAGGCAAATTTCAAAGCAAGCTCAATGGGTGTTATATTTTGGCCTTTTTAATTTCACCTTAACCTACTGCCCTGGATCCAACTATCATAAACCTGATGCGTTCTCTCGACTGTACACTGATGACACCCGAAACTATTCTTCTTGTATCCTGTGTGGTAGGTTCTTTGGCAGTCAGATCAAGGTCCAGATCAAGGACTTTCTGAAAAGCTCCATAGTTCCAGAGACCTTTGCTTATAAGTTTTACAGTGGAGAGAGTGAGGGAGCCAGAGAGAGAAAGAGTTGCTTTATTGATACCGAGGTTTGTGGAGCTGCAATCTCACTCACAGTAAAGACATACAGTATGTTTCTGAGGATTTAAGTGCAATAAACAGAAAAAAATCACATCTATTTTTAGCTAAAATGTTATATACTGTGGCTTTAATTCAACTACTGTCTATGTAATAAGTTAGAGGTTTGTGGGTGCTATGAAACATAGTCAAGCTATCAAACCTCACCTCATAGATTTTTAACTGTACTTCCAAGCGTACACATTAGATTGGCCTTCATGTGTTTTCTGAAAGTGGTGTCTTTTATGCCATACACAATGGGGCTTAGTGATCTCGGCAGAATCTGCACACTAATGTAAACAGCAAACTGTATATCTGAACTGCTCCTGGGGAATAATCGGATTAGCATCTCCCTCAATGCTGGCGTTGCGTAGATTGTCATGCACATCAGCACCTGAAAACCATGTAAAATAATTGTGTTTCGAGCTTTCTTTATATCTTTACTTGCTGTCTTTGCGCTGAAGAGAATTTTGAAGTACGTGTACACAATAACAAACCAAACAACAAACAAGAGAACTATGTAGGAGAAATCTCGTTTTTTTTCTACGATTGGACTTGGAAAGACATTAAGACGAAGGCAAACCACTTTAGTGTAGAAAAACTGAATTGGGGAAGATGCCAGTGTAATGAATAGATCAGAAATCCCAGAAATAAAAGTTATGATCCAAATCAAGGCAAGCAGCACATGGGTTCGTTTGACGGTGCAGACTTGAATGTGATGGAGAGGGTGGCAGATAGCGATGTAGCATTCTAGCGCCATGCAGGCCAGGTTGAGTGGGGTGTTTTCTGTTGTGAAGATGATGACGAGCATAAAGACCGTGCACATGGAGACAGGTAGAAGGTAGAATACATAAGAGAAGATAAAAATGAGTGTGGTCAGAATCAGATGGAGCATGTCATTGATGACCATGTGGATGAAAAGGATGTAGCGTGATTTGGAGAAAAAAATCTGCAAAAGAATTAATAAGATTGTAATGAGTAGGAAAAATTATTTGTACCAGTGTGAGAACACTGATCAATCTGATTTATGTTCAGATATATTGCAAAACAAGTACACATGCAAATTAACCAGGGTGGTGGTTTTGATAAATAACTTAATTCTTTTACTATGTGGTTACCTGGACAGAGGAGAATTATGGAAAACTTTGTGCGTTCTTGTTTGGCTGCATTTTTATACACCACATTGGATATAGCCTATTTACTACACCACACTTGGGAATAACACTTTTACTGGACTGAGGACACTGCAGACTGTGGCTGGATGTGGATTTATTATTACACACGCAACTTTAACTTTATGCCATACCACACCTATGGAAAACAAGGTTTTATTTTACTTAACTTTACACTTAATGCACATTCATCATACACAACAAATAGGCTGTAGCACACTGCGTACACTTTTTTTTTTCATTCCTAGTACATGGTCTGGCCATGCTACATGTGGAAGCTCAGAAGCTCCAGAATTCCCTCCCTGAGCTGCAGAGGCTGCACTAGCAGTGAATAATGACAAGCTGCAAGTGGTGGGGTTTAGGTAGTGGCCATTCAGATCAGAGAGCATCAGATGCATTTTAGGTTTAAACTGACTGGATTTCAGCAGTGAAATTGGTATCCCAAACAAGGGACTTTCTGATCGAATAATTGCTGTATCAGTGTTACAGTTATTATGAGTTTATTCTATGTTTGATTTGAACATTTTTAAGGCTGCAACTAATATTGACAATTTATTTATTTATTTTTCTTAATAGATTAAGTAGATATTAACACTGTAAGTC